TGTCGTCGTCCTGGACGATTGTTGCACCGATGCTTCGTGCTTTGTCTCGGCCGGTGAGATCATGCCCACAACCAGTATCCATCAACCACTTCACCCCTTTAGCGATGGTGGTAGAGAGAGCGTAGGCATCGATGGGCTCCCCGTACTCCGGCTTCCAGAGGATGGGGTAGTCTTTGATCTCATCTGCGTCCTCGTCGTAGCACATCATGAAGCAACTCTTCTTCGAAGCAACCAGGTAGTGTCTCTTGAAGACACCCTGGGACATTTCCTCCATGTTTTGAGCTCTAATCCTGGCTCTGTGTTGGTGCAAAGCCACAGTCTTGCAATGACAGTCTGTCCTGAAGAAGTTCTCCTCCACCAGCTGCTTCTCACCATTCCATGTCCTCACTTTACTTGTGGATATTCTATCTTCCCGTCAACTGGCCATCAGCTGATTCCCCTCTTCATCCTCAACGATATCGCTAACCCAGGCGATCCTCATGGGAGCCTCAGTCTCGCCAGACAACCGAGAAGATTCACTCATGGCATCGTGCCCGAATTCAGTGTCCGGGCATTCCGTCTCAGCACCGTCGTACTCCTGCTTCACCTTGTCGGATGATACAGCCTTGCGCAGTAGGACAGGCATTGCCATAGCTCTTCTCCTCAGAATGGCCGGTGCCGCGGGCTTAGTGGTAGAGGACGATGAAGATGCTCCACCACCGCCAGCCGGTGCAGCCTTTGCCTTTGGTTTCTTATCGTCGCGGGGCGTAGAAGACGCAGCGGTATTGGAAAGGTCATGAGAGAACTTACATTTGTCACCCCACTTGCACTTCCCATCTCTGTGTGAGAAGCAGACACCAGGGGCACCAACAGGACTGCTGGATCTCGACTTCCCCTTTCCTTTACCCTTGCCCTCCTTCAGCTTAGCCTCATCTTTCTTCTTGTGAGAGTATTCGCACTTGTCAGTCTTCCGACACCCGTTGTTGGACTTGAAGTGATGCCAGCACGGTTGAGTGCCCTTCACCTTATCCCCGTCCTTCCCCTTGCCGTCGTCCTTGCCAGCGGCCTTGGGGGTAGCCTTCGCATGAGGCTTAGCTTTTGGCTTAGGCATAACGGGAGCAGCTTTGTTAGGGTTCTTGGGCGGTTTGTCCTTTCCAGGCTTGTCACCTTTCTCCTCTTTCTCGACGCTAGGAGCCGCGTTGTTCCCCTTCACGATGTTCTTCAATGTCTTCTCCTTGTTTTCCAACATCGCCTCCTCTCTGTCGATCCTAATCTGGCGATCAATCATCGTAACCAAGTTGCGGTACGACTTGTCCGGATGTGAGTCCGGGAGCTGTTGGAAGATCATGAGCAAGTACTCCATCTTCTTGCTGCCCTTGATCTTCTTGTAGAGAATGTCCCTCAAGGTTAAGTTCGAAGGTATATCCTCTGCTCTCATGTTGGCCAAGATGTCATACCACTTGTTCCTGAAGATTGTGAGATTCTTGCCGCCAGGGAATTCCAGTTGCAGAAGGTGATCAATGTGGTAAACCAGGTCCGTCCGATCGCTTGACCGGAAGGATTGCATGATTATCGCAAGGATCTCGCGACCTCTAACAATCTTCCCTTCACGCTGACGGGCCTCCGAGTGTCTGTTGATATCCATGAGCACGTCGAGCCACATCACCGGCCGCCTTGACCATCCCGTTCAGGGCCAGTGCCAGCTTGATGTCGATCATAGTGAACCTCTTGTGTCCAGAGTTGGACAGGGCCAACAGGTCCGGGTTGAGCTTCCAGCCACGATCAACATCAGGATCGCCTGAAGCAGACACCACCGCCATAACGAGTTGTGTCTTCCACTGGTCCAGCAAGTGAATCTTCGGCCAACTTGGCACCACAACCTTCTCAGCTTCCTTGCGGGAGATGGTAACGGTCTTCTTGGTGCCATCCTCATCTTCCTCCTCGTCGTCCTCCTCGCCATCATCATCATCATCAGGAGGGTCAGGAGGTCCGCCACCACCGCCACCGGCAGTTCTCTTCGGGCTGCCGCCGGGGAACTCAGGGAAACCACCATAGTTTAAGGGAGGAGTGGGGTCATTGCCACCTCCGCCACCGCCTCCAGAACCGCTCGGTTGGGAACAGGGGACGGGCCCACCGAACCCTGACGAGTGGGGGACGGGCCCACCACCGCCTTGAGCAGCTGTTGGATTGGGTTGGCTGAACATCCCCATCCCTTGATTGTTCCCGTCGTCCCTAGTCATGGCAGTGTTACCCAAGTTAAGTTCATCACTTAGCATCGCCCTTAATTGGGTCAATTGCGTCGTGTGAAAAGGGTTAACGCGTGGGGCGATACTGAAGGAACCTGGCTAAAATTGGTCAGAACCCGAAGCCGCTTCGACAATCCCCGCTGGAGAAATATCAACTACCGAAGTTTGCGTGGCTTTCCCCTTCGGAGGTAACCACTCACCGCTCACGGCGCCCTTCGCAGAGTTGAGCTCGTCCAGTAGGTTCTTGTTCTCCTCTTCTAACTGCGCGAGGAACCCCTCCATGGAGTCAGTTCTTTTCTGGCTTTCGTTATTCTCATCCTGCAGTACCATGATGGTCCTCTTGTAGGAATCAACCTCAGCCTTGCCATACTCCTTGATTCGTGAATTCTGGATGGTGAGTTGCCTGCATTGCTCTTTGATGGCATCACGACTTCCAGCTTCCTTGTCAAGGGCAATCTTGATGGCGTTGAACATGTTGGCCTCTTCCCGTATCTGTTGTTCCTTCATGGCCACCGCAGCTTCCATGTTGCAACGAGCTGCTTCCAGCTCCGTGGTCAGTGAGGCCAGTCTCGCTTTCTCCTGGTTGAGCTCTTGCAGTTGAATGGAGACTTCAGCTTGTCTCGCGTCTCCAAATTCTCCCTTCACCAGATTCTCGTTGTCGTTGACTGCGTTCTCGAGTTGTGCCTTGAGTGCGAAAATCGTGCTGTTCTCCTCTTGCATGATGCCTTTGAACTTTTCATCAGCGACCACTATGGAGCGCCTGAGACCAGTCACCTCTTCCCTCGCGGATGTGTTGACCTCGTCGGCATGAGCAGTTGCTTTGCGTTCACGTTCAGCAGCAATCAAATATTCTTGAGACAAATCCGAAATCCTGATGTTTTGGTACTTCATCACACGATCATTCTCCAAATGTTGTAGTTCCGCATTCCGAGTAAGATCACTCTGCTCCTGACAAACATTCGCAAGGTGTCGTTCTTCGGAGTGCAGTGTTCCAACGTCCGAGTAGCATCTCTGATGTAGATGCTGTGCTTGTTGAGCCGAGATTTGACCACGTCTTTCGAGCTCAGTGATCCGAGTAGTACTTCCTTCGTCTTCTTGCTTGTAGTCGGCGATCACTTGGTCCTTCTTCTGGATCTCTTCAGCCTGAGCTTGTAGTTTCCTCTGGGCTTCGGCAAGTTGCTCTTTCAACTTCTCAGCCATCCGGTCGGGAGTCCTGGAACTTTCCTTCCGGGACCCTTTTCTCACGCTGTCCTTGGCGTAGATGAAGATCTCCTCGAAGATGGCCTGGGTTCCCCCACCCATGACATAGAAGAAGACCCACCAGGTTCGTCCTCGATAGGTTCTCCTCCCTCACCGACTTCCGCAACGAGTGCTTTTGCCATAGACGAATCTGTAGAAGATTCTCCGCCGAAAGTAACAGTGCTTGGGCTGTCGGTCATCTCTCCAGCTTCACAACGTGCGGAACCACCAGTGCGTACCTACGGCTGATAACCTGCCGTCGGATGAGTAAGTGGTATGTGTCCAGTTGTTTACCAGTGTGTGTAGAAGCCCGCAACTCAGCGTTGTAGCTGCCTGTGAAGCAGGTCCCAACTAAACCCAGCGACTCTGTCTTTCCACCGTTGCAGCTCTATGGCGTTCACGCCCGGAGCGTAGAGCGAGGTCTCCTCTGGAGACCGCGGCTCTGAAGAAATGTTATCTTGAGCCAAAGCGCATAGCCGCTTTGGATGTCCAAACATGCTGTGTCATGGTCTCACAATCATCAACAAGGTTAACAGTTTGAGGGCCCGAACCAACAAACATGTGAGCATCAGAACCACCACAGGATTTTGGGTCAGAACCCGGGGTCTCTTAGCAGTTTGTGTGTGTGTGTGTTTCTGTGTCTGTGTGTACATGTGTGTGTTTGTGTGTTTGTGTGTTTGTGTGTTTGTGTGTTTGTGTGTTTGTGTGTGTGTGTTTGTGCGCGTTTGCGTTTGTATGCGTGTGTGTGTGCGTGTTTGTGCGAGTGTTTGTGTGTGTGTGTGTTTGCATGTGTGTGTGTGTTTGCGTGTGTGTGTGTGTGCGAATGTGTTTGTGTGTTTGTGTGTGTGGGTGTGTTTGTGCGCGTTTGCGTTTGTATGCGTGTGTGTGTGCGTGTTTGTGCGAGTGTTTGTGCGTGTGTGTTTGCATGTGTGTGTGTTTGCGTGTGTGTGTGTGTGTGCGAATGTGTGTGAATGTGTGTGTGGGTGTGTTTGTGCGCGTTTGCGTTTGTATGCCTGTGTGTGCGTGTTTGCGCGGGTGTTTGTGTTCTTCCTTGTTTTGCAAATGGGATGCCCCAGGCTGAAAGAAGATGTCACCTACCTCTGCCCTGCAGACCATATTCGCCCTTATGTGTTTTCGTGTTTTTTTGGTGTTGACATTTGGCGCGAAGCCAGCACGCAAGTTAACAGGTCCCGTTGCAAAACCTAAGGCGTCACAAAGGCCAAACAACAAGATCGGTGACACAGTTGGGAACAAGTAAGTCATGAAGCAATTTGTTGGGAACATATCGAAACGGCACGTGCTGCTGAGGTAGCACAGTGAGCACAGATTCTGCCAAAGCACCGTGAGATAAACGTCATGGGAAGTTGGCCAGCTTCCTTGTTCAACAACGCGAAACCAAGCTCATTGCAATCAGAAAAGGGGAGGTCAACTTGCATGGCTCGTCTATCCCAAGTTTGAATGCAAACGAAGCCAAAGCCACAGGAAGGGCGTTCAGGGCTCTGCAGCTTTGAGCTTAGTGAAAGATGGCCCATCGGCCTGTGGCACGAAGGGCGGCTCGATCCGCAACTCCTTCAGTCCTGGAGAGCTGTGCGCCCGCTTGCCTGCCTTCGTGGACAACTGGGTCAACCCCTATCAAAACCAGCAAGACCTTCTTAACAAAAGCGAGTGTTGCTGGTTGCAAAAGCAGCAACCAGCTCGTGACTTAGAGGTAACTTGCCAGAACGTTCTGTTTTTCTCAGCAACTGCTCCTACCTAAGCCAGTTACGCTTGGAGGGAAAATGGATCCAAAAGCAAGCCCCGGTTGAAGACGGACCAAGTAGGTCCTTGCCAGTCGAACTGCTGGAGCTGGAAGAAGCCGTGCCGACGCAGCTCCGGGACCCGGAGTCGATCCTGGCAACAAACGCTGAAAGGAACCCTCCATGCACTTCAATTTCATTGTTTAACCCGTTTTGCTCCATCCTCGTGAGCTGACATGGGAAGGGGGGCCAGTCTTACAAAGCTTTCTGTAAGGCATGGATACGCATTAGTGATGGTGCAGCATCCCTACCCCCAATCTGGAAAAAGACCCGCCAATACACAAAATACAAAGGTCCCCTTGTTGCAAAAGGGCCAGCGGCCCATAAGATGTTTTTCCCCAAAGTGTGGAACGGAGTCCAAGCTTCTGGTGAGGGAAGCCTCGCTCAGGTCCCCCCACTAGCTTGTGGAGGATAGTGATCCGTACAATCCAGTGGCTCTCCCAAAAGATGAGGAAACTTACCCTTTTTTTGTGGGCCCTCAGCCCCTTACCGCCCTGGTTTTCCAGTTGGGCTTCCCTTGAACCATGGTGGGGGATATTTGATACAGATCGGTCTTATTCTTATTTAAATGCTTCCGGCCTCCGGAACCTGCCGGCAAAGCTGGCTAATGCAGTTCTGTGCCTCCAGCGGCGCGGCAAGGGTGCGTTTCAGAAGAGAGCGGCCGGTGGTGGGGTGTGAGTTTGGAATGACGATTGTTATAATATGTGTATGGACATGTACGTATATAAATGCATGTACATGTGAGTACATAGATGTGATTGAATGTTTACGTATGTATATGTATGTACATGTATGTGTATGTGTGTAAATGAATGTAAATGCATGTAAATAGATTTATATGTATGTAATTGTATGTACGCCAGTAGGATCCAAACCCTGAAAAAAAAGCGGGTGCAAACCAAAAACCCGTGTTTTCGGCTTTTCCTCCAAGAATATGGTGTGTTTTGAAAAACAAACGTTTTTTGGGGTGCATGGCCTGGGCAATCCCTTTTATTCTGCCGTGGAGGGGTTCAACAGTGAACACTTCTGGGATAACCAGTGTTGTTGTTACACGTGTCATGCTTTGGGGGTTGTTTTGGTCATTCGTTCATTTTTTTGGCGCCAAAACCAAGCCCTGCCTGAGAGCCGATTACATGTGACCTCAATATGTTTGTCAAGTTACGATACTTTAGCATGCAATTAAATTGTTGGATGGGTGCCCCCCTAAAAGAGCTGAATCGGTGAATTAGGGGGGCGCAGTTTTGGAAGGGCCCGGGTTGGCTCACAGGTCAGGCCTCATGCAAATACGTGTGAGCTGCAGGCAATTCGATTTGGGCTTGGTGCTGCTGAAAGCTGCCAGGGAGGGTCCTATATAGGGAACTTATCGATAAAAAACAAAGGATCCCTCATTATTTTGCCTTTCCCGTCAAAATTTCGCAAAATTGTTTCGAATCGACCGACATTTGGGGGGGCACTTTTGGGGAAAAATGGGGACACCATATTCTTCCCATCCAAACACCATATCCGCCGACGTTGTTCGGCGTGTCGGACACCTAATAGAGGATACCGGAACCCCCCCTACCCCCCCCGGATTTTGCAATTGCAATCTTTTTTTTTTGGGGGGGGAAATCCCTATAAGGTTGGTTCTGGGGCTGGGGGTTTTAGCTTCAGGGTTTCAGGGCTCAGGGTCACTTTTCAACAAGCAAACAAGTTTGTTCAAAACACAGGTATTGGTTCTGGGGAATTTTCAGGGGAACAATGAACAATTGTTGAACAATTTTTAACAATGAAACGGGTTAGCAATTTGTTATGTCAATTGTCACTGTTTTGGGCTGTTGTTATGTTTTTCCACAGTTCGCCCCGACGCTTCGACTTCTTCATCCTGCTCTTTGATGTTTACGCTGGGCACTCAGAATTGAGACACTCTTTGACAGAGATTAGTGCGCGTCGAACGCTGAAAGGCATTGAAGCTGTCAGTCAGAGCAGTTGAATGCTATGAATTCTGACCGCTGACATTTGAATAGCTCTTTTGGTTGCAATTCGCATCTGGCAACCTCTGCCATTTAGGATTTCCCTGTTGTTGTGATGGCCGTCTCCCCTTCAATCGTGGAAAAGGTGACCTACATGATGGCTTCGGCTGGTGGGTCTGATGACCCCGATGACAAGAAGGACAAAGTGCCAACACTTGTGCCTTCGGTTGGTGGTGACAGTGATGAAGAAGGAGGAGGAAGCCACTGGTCAGAACACTGACAGTGACAGTGATAGTGAGAGTGATGATGAGGCGCTCTTGGATGCAGTGAGCAAGATGACACTTTCAGAGAAAAAGGAGCTGAAAGACCGCTTCACAGAGAAGAAGGAGCGCTTTGAGGCAAAGGAGAAGCTGGTGAAGTCAGCCATCAAGAAACACGAGAAGACCATCCGTGCAGAGGAGAAGAAGCAGAAGGATGCATCTAAGGCTGCAGAGAAAGCCACAAAGTCAGCCGAGAAGAAGGATGAGCTGGTGACAATCACGGTGAGGTTCGGCGAGGCTTCCTACAACATCACTGTCCGCGCCAACCTTGGCATTGGCTCTTTGCGAAGCCACTTCTTCGATATGGCACGCATCAAATCGGATTTTGTTTGAAGACATCGATTTCAGTTCCTGGAGGATACTGTTTGAGTGTCTTCTGAAACTTATTTACTAGTGAATCTTGGATGATCAACGGAGGAACGTTCTTGTTGAACGGAAGGTCTTGGATGTTGACCGCAGTGCTGCTGCTGGTCATGTTGAACTCCTGGTCGATGGCGTCCATCTCCTTGCGAAGGATGTTGATCTCCTTGTTGGTGAACGGCTCGAAGATGTCCTCCAAGAGATACACCTCGTTGTCAAGCGGCTTCACCTTGAGATGTCGCAGGATGATATGCGCAAGATCCTGACAGAACCGGTAAGGGTATACCTGTGCCAGTTTTGTTCTGCTTCCGAAAGTGCCGGCATTTCCTTCGAGGTGCTGATGTTCATGTTTCACCGAGCTGGTGAAGTTCGTGCACCTTCTGAAGATCGGTCTCATTACCTCTGGCGGCAAGCAATGCATCAAGCTGGTAGGCTTGAGACATCTGAGTCCGGATTCAGGATCTCTCAGTCCATATGCACAAAAATGAAAGTCTCCCCAGGTGACGGATGGATCTGAAAAAAGTTGCTGCATGCAATTCAAATACCAGATCCTGGATGTCTGAGGATTTTCAATGATAAAATATCTCTTGTGCTTGAGCTGACATCGCGCAATAGATGCCACGAACTCGACCATCGGGATACAGCGCTGTCGCTTCTCCCAGACTCTCTGTTGATCTTGTTGGATGTTCTGCATATTCGACCAAGGTCCACAGACAGGTGCCATAAGAATGAGATCAGGTGCTTGTTCTCGAATGATCTCCATGACCATATGTCGTCCCTTAGATGTCATTACGTCAAATCCGTTTCGGATGTCGACTGGTGTCCCAACCTTGAGACCTGTAAGTGCACAGCATTGACTGAATCTGGCACTTCCTGCAAAAATCTCTAGGACGTGGATCTTTCCCTTTTTCACACAGTTCCAATGTGCTTGTTCGGGTACGGATGCTCGATCTTCGGTGACATCCTCCACGTTCATAGGTCTTTCGGATGCAGGGGTCTCAGATGGCTTTGGTGCCACTGGTTGTATCTTTGACTTTCCAGCAATGCGTAATGGTCGTGAGGATGCTGGCTTAGGAGTTGGAATGGATGGCTGATTCTTCTTGGAATCGGATGATGTTCCGTCCTGATCCTTCTGTAAGGATTCTTGTTCATCAGACAACAAGAAATCAATTCCAGGCTTCCCTGGTGGGATCGTTTCATCCTTTCTGACCTTAGTCAGATTGACCTTGATGAGTCGTGTTCCGAGATCAAGACCAACCATTGCTCCTTCCAAGGAAATGACTTTTCCCTTGATCCAGATTCCTCCTTTACTACCATCTGAACGAATCTTGGATTTGTCTTCCTGCCAGTAGAATACCTTGTCCTTCAACTGCAGAGGTTTGGCACTCATTCGGAGATTCTGTGCAAGGTCTCTTCGGATGTCCTCGGATTGACGAGCTTCTTGGAATGCCTGCTTCGACAGCTGCTTGATTTGGATGGCTGTGAGCTCTTCTTCATTCCTATCGATCGTCAACTGAGTTGGTGTTGCGACATCAAGTTGGATGAGATCTGCAGGTCTTCGTCCGAATGCAAGTTCCAGGGGTGTCACACCCCCGTAGGTTACCGTTTGGTTCCTGACAGTTGCTGCGGCCTTTACTAGCTGTCGGTATGTGATCTTCTTCAATGTGGCAGGTGCAGTGCCGGATTTGATTGAATGAAGCATGATCTTCGTCTGAGCCTTCAAAAGTCGAACTGCTGATTCAGCTCGATTTGGCCATGGTGTGTTCGGTCCCAACGAGATTGGTGTAATGTCGAGGGATTGATAGAAATGTTCCCATGTCTCTGACATGAAGGCTTGATCGCCGACAACGGATTTTGGCTGCAGGTGGTACTGGTCGAAGTAGTTCCTGAGGACAGTGATGTTCTCGGATTCTTGGGTAGTGTTTACTACCTCAGCAGTGAGCAACGTTGTTGCTCCATCCAGGATGACAAACACAGTGATATGTTCTCCAGTTCCCAATGGAACTTGACAGTGATCAATGAATGTCATGTCTCCGAAGGTATCTGCTCGGAGTCCACTAGTCTTGCTTCGTGATGGTCCTTGTTTTGCTGCTTGACAAACTTCGCATTCACATCGGATTTTGTCATAGAGGTCGTAGATTGATTTTGGCAAGTGTAGCGCACGGGTTCTGAATCGAAATTGTTCTGCGTTCATATGATGATGCTGGAGGTGGAGCTTCTTCAACTCTTCCGGATTTGACAATCGCTTGTGAATTCTGCCTAAGGCTGTTGGCAAAGAAGCCGGTCCTTCTGCGGATGGCATGATAGGATCTGGCTCAATAGTCGACTGGCCCATCTTGTCGATGATCCTATCTGCGGCTGTTCCTGAACCTGACTCTTGCGGATTGTCTTGGAGAGTGAAAATGGTCTTACCTTTCCACAGGTTGATTAACGGTTTGTTCGCCTGGGAGGTAAGTCTCCAATTGTCTTCAAGGATTTCTGGGTCTCCACCCTTGACTGCATCAATTATCTCGGTTGTACGTTCTCGGCTGATGTTATCAGGATTCACTGGACATCCCTTTGCTCCAATCGGTGTGAACAAAGCCTTGCGAGGTGTGATGTGCACACGGATGAGCTTCTTGTTCTTCTCGTCGTGTATCCAGTGGTCCTGCTTTGTGGTACCAATAATCCTTGGAGTTGCTGTTTCCTCTTTTGTCTCGGATGATTTGGATGCACACACTGTTTCACTCTTCGGATTTTCCTCGGATTGAAACTTGATGCTGTCGTCATCATCGTAGACATAGTTGATGAGGCCTTTCCTAGCAATTTCTCCATGGGATTTCACTCTTGCCACTCCAGCAAGATCGACGAGTGCATGTCCTGTGCCGGATACTGGAACTGCTTGACGATTCATGCCAAAGGCCTTACAGGTGATCTTGTCACACTGAGGTGTATGCTCGATGGTCATGTACAGGTTCCGCATCTGGCCAATGCTCAAAAGGATCGGTACAGT